GTTAATCTCCGGCACCACTATCAAAAAAGTGTTTTGCTTAGTTTCCCATGGCGGAAAAGAGGGTTACGTGCTTCCCCCTTGGGGTTTCTGCTCCCACCTCCTTAAGCCCCCTGGGCCCCTCTGTCTCCTCGCCACCTGACAGCCGGCGGTGCTGCCCTCCCAGGGCGGGCTTGGGCTGGGGCCGTTGCTGGGCAACAGGCAGCCCCGCAGCCGCTTCCCCCGCTCGCCTCAGCCCGCCCCCGCTGCTCCTCCTAATATGGATTTAATTAGTGTACTTTTTACCTTCAGACTGTAAATTGGAAAAGAAATAGGGAAGCAACGTTCTGCCGGGCCCCAAACGGGCGCGCAATATGTCTTGAACAGCCTGCTCAGCACAAAATGTACCTCCGCGAGCGCTGGCGTAAACCTCAGGGGTCCTAGTTGGAAATTGGAACAAATTGCTGTGCAGTTGATTCACATGTAAATCACACGCTGAAGGAAGAGGAAATTTAGGTCAAATGTAGCTGAGGACCGCAGAGAGAAGAGATGAAACGGGAATTTGAGGGTCTAGGGGCGGGGGACTGGGTAGGGGAATTGTTATAAAGCAATTCTCTTAATGACCTGTTGTGTTACAGTCACAGCCTGGGTACAGCTTGGAGGGTCACAATGGGTGTTTTCCTGTTGTCTTGAAATTTAAATCAGCACCCGTCTCCCACTAGGAGGATTTTATTTCCCCTGAGGGGGAGAGGTCTGGAATAAGATTTCTCTCTTTCAATCTCCCTCTCTCTTTCTCCCTTTTATCCCCTTCCCTGCAGGCATACCTGAGGCCACCCCTGTTTCACAGGTTCAGGTCCAGAGGTGTGGCAGGCGGTGGGGCCCAGACAGAAGTTCAAGGCAAAAAGCTATCTGGAGAGCACTAGAGAATCTGTTTATGAAGCTATTTTAAATGGCCAAATAATTTCTTCCAGGAAAAAGGCCCCCAAAAGGGGAGAAGATGGGTCCTGGGTGAGCCCAACCTTACAACTGTGTGTTGAGGGGTGCTCTCAGCCCAGCTAGGAGCCCTCGTAGCTGCAGTGGTGAAGCATTGGGCTGCTAACCAAAAGCTTGGCAGTTCAAATCCACCAGCCGCTCCTTAGAAACCCCATGGGGCAGTTCTGAAGATGGAGGTAGGAATGGGAGTTAAGAAAGATATTATTTCTACCTTCACTAAAGCGATACCACAGACAGAACATGGAATAATTTCCGTTTTGTAGGAATACATTTTTTTTCCTAGCAGAATCAATTGTTATTTATCTATACAAATACTAACATGGTAAGAGAATGGTGATCGTGTAAAGCAAATGCACAAATCAATGCTATTTGGTTTTGGAGTTCACACTCCCATGGGACCAACTCGGCCTCCCTGCTAATATCTCAGGTTCACAAAGAGCTTCAACTACTTATTCCATGTGCTCCTCCCCATGGCCTATGGTGTGGGTACTGCCAGTCTTGTGTCCCACAGAGAAGGGAGCTGGAGCTTGGTCAAGGTCACTAAAAGAGTCAAGGGCTGAAATGAGACTACCCTGCTTTCCTGTGACTGGATACTATAGTGAAGAATAGTGCCAGGATGCCATTCTAGCTCTGCCACTTACTAGCTGTGAAGCCTAGGCATCTTTTCTAGGCTTCCGTTTCCTCACCTTAAATGAGGATACTAATAGTACATACCTTATAGGGCTGTGGTTAATATCTGCAAGTGTTTAGAACAGTGCCTGGCATTAATAAACACAGGTTATTTATGCATTACCCATATCCTGGATCTCCATTAAGAAAGTGGGACATGCTCAAGAATAGCCTCTTAGCTCCATTAAAGGAAGTATAAAACTTTATTTAAAAGTTTGCTATTGGTATGACTCATACACATCTACATTAACAATTAACTTCTCCTACATTAAAAGGAGCAATTCTCTTCTCTATGATAATTCTAACTAGCTAAATTGCCTTAACTTATAAGCAGTTATTTTTGTTAGTTGTTGGAAATAACCCTTTTATAGCTGTACCTCCTGCTAGGCAATATATAGTTCTTGAAGATAGTCCATACGTAAATCAAACTATAATTTTCTACTGACTTGTCTTATAGTTTCAGGAAGTCTTAGCCTGCAAGGAAAAAGCAGTGCTAAGACCTGTTTGTTGATCCTAAACTCTTGCCAAATGTTTTACTTCACTTGGAAAGCTTAAGCATAGCGCACCCTTCTAAAACACAAAGATGCTTCAGGCAGTTCAAATAACCCTCCTCTGATTTAAGTGAGCAAAAAACATTAGCTATTGTTAATACTACTTTGCTGGTTTAGACTTTGTCTTTCTCAAGGCAGGTTGCACCTGTGTCTGTGACCTTTGTCACCCTGTCTCAGTCAGGCCTCTCATTTATCATGGAAAATCTCTAATATTTTATTCTGTCTTCTAGACCTTCAGCTACTCAGATCGCTATAATTATTGCCTCCTACAATTTTTCTGCAGAGGCATAAGAATTAATTTGCATTTTAAAATAATTTATGCAGGTTAGTTAGACATGCTAGAGTTTCAGGCAAGAAAGGTGCAAAGGGTCAGAAACGGGCCTGCATTTATCTACAGTTCTTGGCTACCATGCCCATGTATGGTGACCTCCTTTACATTGCATAGCAATCCAAACTCTTTTAATAATAGAATGTTTGAAAGGGGCAGAGGATGAAGGGAAAAGAAAGAAATTAAGTAGAAGAAAAGAAAAGAGAAATAGAGTAGCAAAAACTGTAGAATGTTTAAGAGAAGAACATCATCACACAGGCGGGAACAAAATGGGGACTGTTTATTTCAATGCTTAAGTCAAGGCATTCCATAAAGGACTGCCTTAAATAATTTCAAAGGCCTCACTTATATATATGAAAGGGGGGGAACCAACTACTTTGTGTCACACAAAACTATTTAATATCTACTGACATGCAAACACAATTCTCAAAAGCAGAGCATAATTACAATATGACATAAAAAAGTTTGGTTGAACAAATAGATTCCACGTTTTTAAAACAGAAAAACTGCCATTAAAATTACACTGTATCTAACCTGGGAAATCTTGGCAATATCTACAAACCTTCTCAATTTACAGATCAGGAACAATGGTCCAGAGACGTTAAGGCACACGTCCACCATCACTGAGCAAAAAGATTCTACATTTGCTATTTTGGAATAAGCAGTTGCTTGTGTTCAAAAGACTTTTTAAAATGGATATCATGTACTTTTTCTTCGTACAGAACTTTCATATAAAATTGTTGCTCTCAATTATATCCATTAATATTTTAACCAGTTATGCTTCTGGTGGAAAACGATGACATTTTTTTCTTTGAATATTTGCCTCCAGCACTGAAAGGCTTAGCCGGATTTGAGAACCACAGATTCAGAAGCATGGCACAAAGGTGCAATTCACAAATAAATCACACTTCTTAAAAAGTATATTTAAATATTCATGCCAAATCAAAATAGCAACCCACTGGTGCCAAACATGCATGTTTACATTTCACTGTAAAGACAACCACAAATTAAAAGTATTTGCCAAAATGTCCCTTTTCCTTGTTAAATCAGCTTTACTCCCAAAATGTGCTTGTTTCCTAATATTTAGCATTCACAGTACAACTGAAATTAATTACATTCACAATGGTCACAATGGTTATTCTGTGTTTAAGACTGTCGAGAATCTTGATTGCCTAAAATGAGGTAGATGAATTTTTAAGGGTTTCATTGGTTTGGACTAATTTCCTTTAGATCTTGATCTATTTTTTTTTAAATATAATTCCAAAATACTTAGCAAAAGATTGAAAGCGTCTGTGCACTTTGTCTAAAAATGGAAAAATATAATTTCAAAAGGTTAGATTTATGAAAGTTGCTTTACCTCATTTTAATTTAAAAACAAGATAAAAGCATCAAATTACAAAACTACCACCTATTTTAAAGCTGACAAACAATTCAACATAATCAATATTTAAAGAGACCACTGCCTTTGCTTTAGTTCTGGTTTGGGAGTGTATAGATGCAGAGACATCAGGTTAATGCTTTCAGGGGCCAGACCAGCTGCTGCCCCTTAACCTTTGATCCCAAATTTGAAGTGTCCTCCAGGGATTGTGGAGTTCCTCATTGGAAACTCTCACTGAGATCTCTAACCCCGTCTCTGGAGACAGGCTTGGCCTCAGACAGAAGCTTGGAGGAATAGGCCCACCTGGGTAAGACAGGCCACAGTGGACAAAGTTGGAAACAGGATACAGTGGGTGTTGCAGGATTCGGTGGGTGCTGGGCCATGGCCTAGGGCCCGCTTAGACTGTGGAGGAAAGGCCCGGTTAGATTAACCAGGCTGTCGTCTCAGGGACTGTCAGGTTGTGGGGGGCAGGCTGGGCATTAGCCCGGCTAAGGGGCCTGGAGTAGGTCGACGAGAGGCTTCTGAGAAGGACGGAAGGCCACTGCGGGTCTTGGTCTTTTTGCGTGGAGCCATGGGCGAGGCGCCCAGGAACTTGCTGAAGGAGCCCGACTTAATCAAGCCGCGAGCCAGGTCCTGGAGCATCAGATCGTCGGCCAGGACGCCCAGAAACGCGCTGGTAGTGGAGCTGAGGATGGTGGCTGCCACCTGCACTGGGCGCCGGGCTGCAAGGCTGCCACCGCCGCCGCCGGTGCCATCGGGCTCGATCGCGCCGCGCAGGCCTGGGTCGCCGAGTAGACGGCGCAGCGCGTACGAGGAACCAGGCCGCAGGTATTGGTAGGCGCGCCGTCCGCTGTGGTCGCGCAGGTGCACCTGCGCGCCCAGGCGAACCACCAGCAGCACCGCGGCGTGCTCGTGGCCGTGCAGCGCGGCCAGGTGCAGTGGAGTGTAGCCGCCATGCGAACGTGCATTCACGTCGACTGGCACGCCTCCGCGCCGTGCGACTTCCACCAGCTGCAGCGCCATTTCACTGTCGCCGCTCTTGGCCGCCCAGTGTAGGGCAGTGAAGCCCGACATGAAGTCGCGCTTGACTGCCAGGCCGCAGTCGCGCAGCAGCAGCCCATGCAACTGGTGGGTCCAGTGGCCACCGGCCGTCCGCACCAGCCACTCGTGCTCGGCCGGCTCCAGAGGCAGGGCAGACGGCGGCGGCGCGGCTGGCACCTCTTCGGCGTCGGGGCTCAGCAGGCGTGGGCCTGCGCGTGTCAGGCGCCTCAGGTGCGGGGAGCGTCCTGGGCCCAGGCTGAGGCCCAGGCCGGACTCCTCCACGGACAGCCGCCGCAGCAGTAGCGGGGAGCCCCGCGGGCTCGGCTCCTCCGACAGCTGTCGGCGCAGACCCTGCTCCTCCGCCCGGATCCGGAGCGCGGTGGGGCCCGGGACGCAGCGCACCGGCAGCATGCAGGGCTTCGGCGGCGGCGCGTGCGGAGCGGGTGGCAGAGGCCCTTTGGCCGTCCCGGGCCCAGGTTCCCAGTCTGGCTGCTCTGCGCGGGGCGAGGCCGCCTCCGACTGTGCCCTAGACGGTTGGGTCACGTCTGCGGACAGTCCCTTGGAAGGCAGGACTAGCTCAGAGGATGGAACCTGGGAGTCGGAGAGTCCCTTTGACTGGGGGGCCGAGCCCAAGCTCTCCAGCTCTCCGCTTGGCTGAGCCGGCTCAGAGGCCCCAGCCCCGGGGGCACCCTGTGGCTCTGGTGGGGGGACTAGATCCTCTGGTGGTTCCTCCGACCTTTGGGGCGACGCCAAGGACGGAGTCCCCGGACCCCTGGTTGCCTCCGGTGAGACAGAAGTGATCTTTGACACCGGGGAGGGGGCGCTGGGGACGCAGGAGGGCAGGGCCTGCGGTCCTTCGAGGGGCCGCGGCTTTTTCCTCAGCACCACGAACTTGACGCCGTCGAACTCCTTCACCACTGCCACGTTGTTGACGAACTGCTTGAAGCGGTCCCTGCGGTCGGCGCGGCCGCGCGGGTCACCCGCATCCAGCAGCGGCTTGAAGCGGCTCAGCAGCTCCGAGTTACGCACCTTCCCGCCGCGCTCCTGCAGGAAGCCCAGCACTGCCGCCTGGCTCACCCCGGCGGCTGCAGCGGCCGCGGCCGCGGCAAGCGCCATGGTGCGTCCCCGCCCGGAGCGGAGCTGGGGCCGCTCCCTTCTGCCGGCTTTGGGTTCCCGGTTTCTGAGACAGGTGAACGCCGCGGCGCCCGCCTGGACGCCCCAAGGCCGCGCTCTCCTGATCGTTTCACCGCGGACGGACGGGAGTGTCTCCCAAGCTGGTCATGCCAGCGCCGCCGGGCCAGGGTGTCTCCGGGCGAAAGGCGCTGGGCACCGCCGCGCGCGCCCCCCACCAGCGCCCTGCTAGGCCCCCAGCCTTCTGTGCTTGGTTTCTACCTTTACGTTCTGTCCAGTGGGCGCCAGGCTCCATCCCCCGCGCGCGGTGCTCGCCTTTCAGGTGACAGCTGCCGCCAGCGCCGCGGAGGGGGCGGGGGTAGCAGATATTCTCCACCCTCCGCTCCAAACCCGGACTTAAAGGCGCAGGGCTGCGCGTCAGCCCTGGCTCCCGGTTGCTAGGTGGCTACGCTCCTCAGGGATGCCACGGTTGAGTAGCCAGGCAAGGGCTCTCATTCCTTTAAGAAATATTTACCCACTGAAAAACAGCGGGTGGCGATTTAAAAGCAATAATTTATTAAAGACAATACCTCTCAAATTTCCAATGCGTTTCATACAGGAAAACTAGGCGTCATGCAATTTACAGCAAAAACGGTTCGCTGTAAGTAGCAGTGAACGTTAGTTGAGGTTTAGAAGAGATGATTAAATAGCATTTTTCCTCATTATAAAATAATGCATTTCACTAGAATTTTGGGGAAAAACAAGAAAACATAAAGAAGGAAAAATATCACGTGAATCACCATTAACATTTGCTTTGAAATATTTTCCTTTCCTCCATTCACATGTGTATACATGTTTATGCAAATTTGGAGTAATGCTATGTTTTAAAAACTTCATTTATTCAACAAATATTAATTGAGCACCTACTATGTGCATAAGGAGCCTGGTGGCACAACCCTTAGGCGCTGGGCTGCTAACCTAAAGGTTGGTGTGTTTAAGCCACCCAGCAGCTCTGCAGGAGAAAGACTTGGTGATCTGCTTCTGCTGAAGATCACAGCCAAGAAAACCCTATGGGGGGTAGTTCAGCTTTGTCACATGGGGTCTCTATGAGTCAAAATGGACTGGAGGGCACCTAACAACAACGACCTGTGTGCCAAGACTGTTTGGGGTTGTTGAATACATCGGTGAGCACGGCAGACAAAAATCCCTGCCCTAGTAGAGCTCACATAGGGTTGGGGGTTGGGGGCAGGGCAGGGAGGAGGACAGAAGAAATATAGCGAACCTGAAAAACTGTGTAATATACTAGACAAGTACTATCGAAAAAATAGAGCAGGATAAGGGAGATGAGGGGCCGGTTGCAATTTTGAAGAGAGTGGTCAGACTAGGACTTATTTTGAAGGTGACAAATTAAGCAAGGGAACAGCCAGGGCAGGGGATCAGTGTCTGAATTTATAAAAACAATACTACAAATATAGAGCCAGAGGAAGCGTATTGTACTAGTCAAGACAGCAAGGCTGTGGAGTAAAAATTCTGCCCTTGAATCCTGGCTCTACTTGGGCAACTTGCTTGACCTCTCAGTGCCTCAGTTGTCTTATTTGTAGAGCGGGGATTATAATAACAGCGGTTATCTCAACAGGTTGTTGTGAGGTTTAAGGGAGGAAATAAACACAGAACACTTAGAATAGTGCTTGGCTCACAGTAACAATTCAAATTATTATTGGTGGTATAGCTGTTACTATTATTACTACTCACTGAAAAAAGAAAGAACACAGCAACATGTGAAGAGTCCCCCTTTTCCCCAGTTCATTTTGTTCACTTTGTCTCCATCTCCATCTCTAGGATGCATACAAATTTAAGCTTCTTTTCCCCCTCACTTTATATCATGAGCATTTCCCCAATGACAATAACTGTTCTTCAAAAATATATGATTTTTAATGACTTCATCAGATAAAAGTATTACATTGTTTTCTTATTGTTGATTATATTGTTTCTAGTTTTTAATTCTTATGAGTGGTGCTGCTTATATATAAAACATTGTGCATGTTTCTGGAGCCCTGGTCCGAAACCCTGGTGGCGTAGTGGTTAAGAGCTATGGCTGCTAACCAAAAGGTTGGCAGTTCAAATCCACCAGCCGCTCCTTGGAAACTCTATGCGGCAGTTCTCCTCTGTCTATAGGGTCACTATGAGTCAGAATCAACTGGACGGCAACAGGTTTGGTGGCATAGTGGTTAAGAGCTTGACTGCGACAGCAGTGGATTTGGTTTGTATTGGTTTATATTTCTGATTAATTCCTTAGGGTAGAATCCAATAAATAGAATTACTAGGTCAAAGGGAATTTTTTCTTTTTTTAAGACTCTTGAAACTTATTGCAAAATTGCTTTCCAGAAAGGTTACAGCTCCGTGAAAGTAGCCTGTCTTTCCCTCGCTGGCACTGAGTAGTAGCTTTCTATTTTTCCTGGTTTGCCAATTTGAAAGGCAAAAAAAGTTGTATCTCACCCTAATTTACATTTATTTTATTACTGGTAAAGTCAAACTTTCCCCCTTCTATTTATTGTCTGTTTGGATGTGTTCTTGGGGACTGTTTATTTCCTTTACCCATTTATTAGTATGTTTCTTATTGATATATAGTAATTAACCTTGTATTATATATGTTGTAAACATCGTCCCAGCTTGTCAGTTGTCTTTTAATCTTTTCCAATAACACTTTCGTTTCTAGACCACTAGTTTTTAATTGTAAATATTGTCTCCTTTTAGCTTGAAAATGTGAGTGCAAAATAAGAAGGTACACGTTCCATTTAAAGGAGAAATTTTAGGATCAGTTCACCCTGTAGGATTAAGCAGTCTACATCAGAATGATAATAGTGCTCTTGGAAGAAGTCTTTGTGTTTTTAACATATGATGATACTGTAATGAACTCTTATTTCTGTCTAAATAAACCCCTCCTTTACGCCCCAGCTCAAGTTCCACCCCATAAGGCCTTCTGCAACTGCACCGGGTATATCATTTTCCTCCTTTGCATTCTTTCTATAATTTAATTCAACAAAGATCTACTGAGTATCTTTAGGTGCAAGGCAATGAACCAGAGGCTCTGGGAAGAAGACACAGCCTACTTTTGAGGAGCTTACCACCTGGTGGAGGAGAGAAAAACACACAATTAATTATGTTACATAGAAAAAGGAAATGAGTGCTCTAGGTGCTTACCAGAGGGTTGATTTCAGTCCGGGTAACCTGGGAATCTTCAAGAAGCAGGTGTATTTGAAAGACTGCTACCCTGGTGGGCTCTGAGAACCTGATAGGCAAAGGTTTGGAAGTGGGGCCATGAAGGCTGAATTCAGGGTTAAAGGAAGTAGAGTAGATTAATATATTTGCAGTCTAGGGTAGGTGTCAGGGATATGAAGAAGATAATGTTGGAAAAGTAATCTGAAGTCATGGATAGAGGACCTTAAATGCTAGTTTGGACTTTATCCTGTTTGCAATAGAATGCCATTGAAAGCTTACTTTCTTTTCAAGTAGCTTTGATTATTTTCTGATTATGAAAGTAATGATGATGATTTCCCAATTTTCAATATTTCCAAAATAAAAAAAGAATAACAGGTCACATTTAAGACGATCACCCTTAATACTTTCGGGGTTATTCTGTCAGGAGTTTTTCTATACACTTCCATAGATATATAAAAACAAAACAACCCACTGGCATCAAGTCACTTCCGACTCATGGCGACCCCATAGGACAGAGTAGAACTGCCCCTTAGGGTTTCAGCATCAAAACAAAACAAAACAAACAAACAAAACAAAAACCCAATCCTTGCGGCTGAGTCAATTCCGATGCACAGTGACCCTACAGGACAGAGTGGAATAGCCCCATAGGGTTTTCAAGGCTGTAATCATTACAGAAACAGACTGCCACAGTTCAAACCTCCAACCTTTTAGTTAACGGCCGAGCACTTAATGACTGGTGCGTTCCAACCACTGATCTTTTGGTTAGCAGCTGAGCACTTAACCACTGTGCCTCCAGAGCTCCCCTATATACATCCGCATAAATATTATTCTATACAGATGGGATTAGACCACATGTTGTTTTGTAACCCATCCTTTTTACTGGATGCTGTAAACAACGCTGGTGTGGAGAATGGATGGAGGAGAGGGCCCTGCAGAGGCCATGGCGGGGTCCCTTAAGAGATGGTAAGGGTTGAACCAGGACAATGGGGGCAGAAAGACAGAATGGATGCCAAAGATGTTTCAGAAGCATAGCTTGCTGTACATTGACTGTTTTCAGTTTTTAAGTCCCATTCCCTTTGTTTTAATTTTCATTTCAATAGCTCAATTAACTTGAAATTTCATCATTGCCACTCTCCTGTTAAAGATCACTAATTTATTTGGTTTGAATTCATTTTGATTATGATCACTAAGACTAGGCAAGGAATTAAATACTGACTGAACATTCACTGCTTGTATAAGCAAGGTTTATTGACAGTGCTTAACAGGCTTCAGGCTCTGACCTACACAAAGAAACTTGCCCAAGGTCACGGCTAATAATTGGCTGAGCCCAAACTTGAACCCTGGGAAGTCTGATTCCAGAGTCTGTTTTCATCTGCCTATCATTTAGTGTGCACAGTTAGGTCACCAATTATTTTAAATTGATGCTCTGAATATTTAATAAGTTGAGAAAAACTCAAAAAGCTAGCTTAAACCTTCATGATCGTGCATTTGAACATACTCTGCTTTAATATTTTAAGTGATAACAGTTTGAGCGAACATTAGGGCAAGGATGCCAATGACATCTAGTTCCTTAGGCTGTTTTTTAATTCACTGGTGGCCTGCTGCCAGTGAGGCCATTGAATCAATTCTTCCAGTGACCCAGCAGTTTGCCTGTAAACACTAGGAAAAACAAATACAAAATGTATATTTATAGCAAGAGTCCAATTCTATAATATGTCTTGAACACATGACTATGTGATAGGAAGGCAATTTGTTTTTACTCAAAATCTTAAATTTGAAGAAGACCCTCTATATTTTTAAAAGCCACATTATTAAGTAAATATGAAATTAAAAAGCTCTCTATAATCTGAATTCTATAAAGAACAACAATAACAAGCTGTTGCCGTCAAGTCGATTCTGATCCACGGCAGTCCTTCGGAAAGCACATCTCCAGGCCTTTCTTCCAAGGTGTGAGTTCAGACCTCCGATCTTTCCGTGAGCAGTCCAGCACTTAACCCTCTGTGCCGCCCAGGGACTCCCTATGTTG